GATTTCTCGCTTTCTGTCTCTCTGTCTCTCTCTGTCTTTCTGGCGAGCGCACACGCCCTATAGCAAAAACCTCTCCTAAAAAAAATTAAATAAAAAAAATTTTTTTTAATAATTATTTTGTTTAACTTTATTTATTTTAATTTGACCAGTGAGGGACAGAGGGAGAGAGAAAGAAAGTGAGAAAGTAAGCCACCAGGTCTGGGACTCAAACCATGGTTTGAGTGGAATCCAACATCCTTAACCACCATGCCACCTGCCGGCCCCCTTCTGGGATCTTAAGCTCACACACACGTGGCATGAGTTTCAAGCCACTAGGTCTGGGACTCAAACTGCAGTGGCCACATAGGAGTCCAGTGACACAACCGCTATGCCATCTGCTGGCACCACATACACACCGTTCCAATGCTTCCAAGCACTTTGGATGTATTATCTCATTTAATCTTTTCTTTTTCTTTTTCTTTTTTTTTTTTATTTAGAGGTTTTTGCTATAGGGCATATGCACTCACCAGAAAGACAGAGAGACAGAAAGCAAGAAATCACCACCCCTGGGGGGATGGCCATACTACAGTCTCTTCTCCTCCATTCTCCTCTCAGGATCTTGGGCATGCACATGCACCTGGCATGAGTTTAAGCCACTGGGTTGGGAACTCAAAACACAGTTGAAAAAAAAAAAACACAGTTGACTACATGGGAGTCCAGTGACACAGCCATTATGCTAACTGCTGGTCCCACTCTTTTCTTTCCTTTTTTTTTTTTTTTTTAAATATTTATTTATTTAATTCCATTTGTTATTATTTTTTAATTTAACCAGAGAGAGACAGAGAGAAAGGGAAAGTGAGAAAGCAAGCTGCCTGGTCCGGGACTCAAACTGCGGTCAGCCATGTGGGGGTCCAGTGCCCTTAACCACCATGCCACCTGCTGGCCCCCCAATCTTTTCTTTTCTTTGAGAGATTTTTGCTATAGGGCTCATTTGCTAGCCGGAGAGATAGAGAGATAGAACCGAAGAAATCACCCCTTCCCGGGAGAATGGCCATGACACAATCCCTTCTCCTCCATTTTCTTCTCGGGACTTTGGGCACATATACACATGTGCCTGGTGCAAGTTTTAAGCTCCTGGGTCTGGGACTTGAACTGCAGTCAGCCTCCTGGGAGTCCAGTCACATAACCATTATGCCATCTGCTGGTCTCCTATCTCATTTAATCTTAACCTTCAATGGTTACTTCTATGGTCCCCTTTTTACAGAAGCGGAAAGTGTGGCAAATGAATACAGCTGTTGCTCAGGGTCGTCTGGTTATTTAGGGAGGTGAGCCAGAGTCTGACCTGAAGTACATCTGACTTTGAGGTCTGGACTCCCACTGCCTCAGCTCCAGATAGAGCGTGGGCTCCCTGGGTTCAGAGCACTGAGGGTTCAGTGAAGGTCTCAGATGTGCTGACAACTGGAATCCTGTACTTGCCCCTGCAGAAAATTGACCCTGAGGTGGCTGCCTTCCTGCAGAAGCTGCGAAGTAGGGTGCAGATCGGTGTGGTGGGCGGCTCCGACTACTCCAAGATCGCGGAGCAGCTGGGCGAAGGTGATGAAGGTAGGACTGGGGCCTGTCTCATAGTCGGGGTGGGGGGGCTCAGAATTCCAGCCATTCCGGGGTTCTTCAAAGACCTTGCCTCTTTGGGGCAGAAGACACAGAGAGGGAACAGACAGACGGTTCTTTGTGGATGGATTTGCAAACATTTAGTGAATACGTGCTATGGCCCAGGATGGTGCTGCGTTCTGGAGAAACAGCTGGAAACAGAGCCAGCAGAAGCCTACCTTTTTGGGGTTTTTTTGAAGAGATTTTTGCTATAGGGCTCGTGCTCCCACTGGAGAGACAAAAAGTTAGAAATCACTCCCCGGGGGGATGGCCACTCCGCAGTCCCTTCTCTTCCGTTTTCCTCCTGGGATCTTGGGGACGCACAGGCAAGTGCCTGGCATGAGTTTGAAGCCATCAGGTCTAGAAACGTGAGTGGCTGTCAGCCATGTGGGAGTTCAGCCACGTAACCACTATGCCATCTGCTCGCCCCAAATCCTACCCTTAATACAGTTTATGTTCTCGATTCTCCCTTCTGAGTTTTGGCTTCTGCATCTTTTTAAAATTTTATTTTATTTATTATTATTATTATTAGAGATGAGAGAGGGAGGGAGTTAAAGAGAAAGCAAACCGCCAGGTCCAGGACACGAACCAGGGTTGGTCATATGGGAGTCCAGTACCTGAACCACCATGCCACCTACCAGCCCCAACTTCTGCAACTTTAAAATGGTCTAATCAGAAGGTCAGCAGAGGGTGTGGTGGTTAAGGTGTTGAACTCCCACAGGGTTGAGTCCTGGACCCAGCAGCTTGAAAATCATACCTGGCATGTGTGCATGTGTGCCCAAAATCTTGAGAGGAGAATGGAAGAGAAGGGACTGTGGCTTGGCTATACCCCCTGTGGGGGGATGATTTCTTGCTTTCTCTTTCCTCTTTCTCTGGCAAGTACACATACGCTATGGCAAAAACCTATAAACAAGGGCTAATCAGGGCCAGCCTGCGAGCCCATGGCCAACCACATGGTTCGAGTCCTGGACCTGCCAGCTTGAAAATCACACTAGGCATGTGCATGTGTGCCCCAATGTCCTGAGAGGAGGGAGATGGAGAAGGGACTGTAGCGTGACCGTGCCACATGCAGGAGCGCTTTCTCACTTCCGCTTTCTCTCTGGTGAGTGCACACACCCTTTGGTTAAAAAAAAAAAAAATGGGCACAATCAAAAATGGTTACCATTTGTTGAAAATGACCACGAGTTTCTTCTTTGTATCATCTTGATGGCCACATGTCCATGGCATGGTTATCCCATTTACCCAGGAAATTGTTGGGACCCCACGCCTGGTCTCAACTCTGTCACAGCAGTGCCTCCAGCTCCTCCGCAGAAGCTTCCCTGAATTGCCCTTTCCCCATGCTTTGGTTCATTTCGTCAGCTAGTATAGAAATAGCTCCCGCTCCTATTCGGGCCTACATCTCCACTCCCACGCAGTCCAGGTGACCACCTGCCTGCAGGACCCTCCACGGCCCGGCTGTGCCTTTGCCTTCCCTCCTGCCCACCGCAGCCACTTCTTGTGGCTGCCAGGGTGGAGGCGCTGCCTCCCCACACAGCCAGCCTTAACATGGAGTAACGGAAGCTGTACCCGGGGCCCTGCGCGGGCAGCTGTGGGGCCAAAGAGTGGAAGTGACACCCTCTGCTAGGGAGGCCTGGGGGCTTCCAGAGGCGGGAGGGTGTTCCTTTCATGAGCAACGGCTTCTGTGGAGGAAAACAAAGCAGCAGGACAGGAGATGAGAGAAGCAGGTCCGCGGTGAGCCAGTGGGCCTAGAGCCCAAACAAGGGGCACGGGCGTCGGCTCGCATCTGGGTAGCAGTGGGGCCTGGTCTTCACTCTCTCTCTCTCCCTGGCCTCTTCATGGCCCTGAAGTCATTGAGAAGTTTGATTACGTGTTTGCTGAGAACGGGACGGTGCAGTACAAGCATGGACGGCTGCTCTCCAAGCAGGTCAGTGCCGCCTGGGGCCTGGGGCCTGGGGCCTGGGGCCTGGGGCCTGGGGTGGGTCGGTGCTGCCTGGGGCCTGGGGCGCACCAGGGCACCTTGTTTCCCTGGTGGGACAGCCCATGGGTACCTTCGCCCTGGGCTGGGAGATGCAGTGCGTGTTCCGGGATCAGGCAGCCCAGCCACTTTCAGAGTCCTGTGTCCCTTGCTTAGACCATCCAGAACCACCTGGGGGAGGAACTGCTGCAGGACTTGATCAACTTCTGCCTCAGCTACATGGCTCTGCTCAGACTGCCCAAGAAGCGGTGAGGTTCCAACTGAGCTGGTCTCCAGAGCTCAGTGCCCGAGGGAGGGAAAGTAGGGGTCCCTTAGAAGGAGCTTGGGCATACTCTGGGCCCTGATTTCTTGGTGGCTGGATTATTGTCCCTTTTGAAGTCTAGGGAGACGCTGGGCCCAGGCAGAACTGGATTTGAATTCAGAGTCATTCTCGTTCTCTCTGGCTATCTGTCCCTCTTCCTGTCACCACCAGTGGAACGTTCATCGAGTTCCGGAATGGCATGCTGAACGTCTCACCTATAGGCCGGAGCTGCACCCTGGAGGAGCGGATCGAGTTCTCCGAGCTGGACAAGGTGCCACCACATGTGGAGCCTTAGGCCTATGGGACCATAGTCACTCAGCCTCTCTGAGCCTTTATTTTCTCATCACAGAAATGGACTGGGGGGGCACATTTCAGCAGGTGTCACCTCCTGTGCACTTCTTGGGTACCTGCCACATGCCACTGCTGTCGGCACGTCTTCATTTTCCAGTGCTGCTGCTGTCCCTTCCTGCACTGCCACCAGCCATCTTCTCACCCAGGCAGCCCCGGGCATCCTTCCACCTCCCCACCCATCTCGGGTCAACGACAACTCCTAATCTTGTAGAGAGCCAGTGTCAAATGTGTGCATCTCCAGAATGAGACCCCATTCTCCACACCACCATCTTCCACCCCAGGCTACCCAAAGTCTGCTCCCTCTGTCCCTTCTGCCCCCAAAAGCTCTGCCAGTGTTCTCCAGCATTGCCATCAAGAGCCCTTTAAAGGGCCAGCAGGTGGAGTTGTGGTTAAGGTGCTGGAATCTCACATGGTCGACCATGGTTCGGATCCTGAACCTGGCAGCTTCAAAAATCACACTAGATGCCTGTGCATGTGTATCCAAAATCCCAAGAGGAGAAGGGCTTGGGCACGGCCACCCTCCCCCTCGGGGTGGGGGGGTAACTTCTCATTTTCCCTCTTACTATCTCTGTCTCCTGTGAGTACACGTACCTTATAGCAAAAACCTAAAAAAAAAAAAAACATCTACACACGCCACATCACCCCTAACGATCTTCCCATGACTCCACGTTACCACTAGGTGGTGGCCCTGCCTGTGCTGCTGCAAGAGGTCTTCCTGGCCCCACTCACTCTGTGCCCTGGGAGCCCTGTTTTCTGTTCCTGGAACACACTGAGGCCCTTGCCTTTGCCCCTGCTGCCCCTGCTAACCGTCTGGGTGCACGTTATTGGTCCGTGCTGCGTCTGCCCCTCCCTGTAAGGGGTGCCGTGAGTGCACACAGGGCTTTTCCGGCTGGCTCAGCCATGGGGTTCCAACCTCGCCTGCTGATCTTCCCCCAGCTCCCTGGCCATGGTCTCCTTGCTGATTCAGGTGGTACAGGTGCCCCCTTCAGGACTCTGCCTTCTGCCTGGAGCCGACATCCCTCAGACACGGCTCCTCCTTCTCCTTCAGATCTCACATGGGGCCTTTCCGGGCATCGCAGTAACCTTGCACCCCCTGTACTTCCTACCCTGCTTCCCTGTTGGCCTTCCCCCATGCTGCCCAGCCACCATTGGGTACACACTGCCATCTGCATGCTAAATCCCTCCATCTGTCTGCCCTGCCCAAACTAAGCCCCTTCATGAGAATGTTTTCTGTGCCTTGTCACCACTGGGTCCCTGTGCCTGACAGCAAGTGCTCAGGAAATACTCCCAAGTGAACGAGCAGTGGTCCTCCCATTCCGTGCATGAGGAAACCGAGGCTCAGAGAGGAATTTGCTCCGTCACCTAAGGAGCTGGTTGTGAGCAAAGGTGGGGTTCTTCCCATGGCTCCTGGGGCTCCCTGAGCGTGGGTGGTGCTCAGCTATGGCTCCCAGCTACTAGCGCCCACTCCCACTCTGTGTCCTGAGACTTAGCGGACAGGGACTGGCTACTGACACTGCAGTTTCTCTTGCTGGGATAGGTAAGGTGGGCCTTTAGCAAAGAACCCTCCCCTCACACAGTGTGGGCCATGTCCCCTTCTTAGGCCATCCAGTTTTCCATTCCTGGGTCCCCCTTCCATCATTCCTGGGTCCCCCTCCATTTGCCTAGTCTCCTGTGTGGTGGGGGTTGGCTGGCATGGGTTGGGTAGGGAGGTCGGGGGAGTGGCTAGCACACTAACTCTTCCCATAACCCCTCGTCTGCCCCCTTTTGGTGGCGGGGGGTGGGGTGGGGGCAGAAATATTCCTGCTCTGCGCTGGCCCAGATCCCGTGTAAATGTTTTACTCCTCCACCCTTCAGAATGCTGAGAGAGGGGCAGGTAGCCCCGTTCCTTAGATGAGGACGCTGAGGCCAAAGGGTGGGTGACCGGCTCAAGGCCACAGTGCTGGCCCCTGCTGAGGTTGGACTTGGCATGTGGGGCTGTCTCGTGCCCAGCCTGGTTCTCGAGAGGGAAGGTGCAGCCACTGTGGGCACGTGGAATCATCACTTCAGCACTTGATCCACCCGCCCCAGGTCCCTCCTGCTGGGAGCGTAAGACCAAGGCTGGCGGGGGGCTCGCAGCCCTCGTCCCTGCTCTTCCAGGAAGTGGGTTCAGAGAGGTCAGACAACGTGCCCGTGGTCACACAGCCCGGAGCCTGGGCAGCCCGCCTTTGGATGGCAGGCTGGGTCTGCCTGTGTAGCTCATGCGCCCCTGGACCACCTTCCGGGCTGCAGACTGCTGGCCACAGCCCGCCTCTCCTTTCCAGTCCTACCCAGCTGTGGCTAGAAGACAGCACTGGTCACCCACCCCTTCTGCCAGGTCCTCCGTGGCTTCGGTCCCCCAGGGTGTGTCAGATCTTCCCAGCCTGGTCTCCAGGCCCAAGAGCTGAGCGTCCTGCTGTGCTGTCGTCGCAGCTCTTGTCCAGGAACCTCTGCCCGCTCTGCAGCCTGTCGGCACTGGGGGCCCATTTGCTCGCTCAGTAGCCCTGGCTGAGGAGGGGGTCGCACACTCGACTGCCCCTCCAGACCCAGCATGGCTGCTCCCCACTGTGGCTCAGGCCCAGGGCACCCTCAGGCTAGTGAGTGAGCATCTCCCAACCGTGTTAGTGGGGGTGCTGCTGGGGCTCTAGGGTCCTGCGTGGGGCCATGGCCGGGCCCAGCCCAGACAGCAGGAAGTGCTCAGCAAACGCGGATTGCTGCAGCTGCCCTGGCACCCGCAGCCATGCTGAGCACCCGATGCTCAGGTCTGCTTGCTGCGCTCATTTCTGTCGGAGCTGTGGGGCTGGGCAGAGCCAGGGCTGTGCCTGCCTGGAGGTGGTTACTGACGGGCCCCAGGCTGCTCTGACCCCTCTGACTTCCACCTGAGGCCTCTCCTCCCAGCCAGTCGCACCGGCACTGGCAGGATCAGGCCCTGGCCCTGCCTCAGGCTGGGTGACCTTGAGCAAGCCTGGCCCTCTCTGAGGTTCTCCTGAGCCTCGGTGTCCTCCTGCAGTGGAGGCTGTACCTCCCTGGAAGACTCTGCTCACGTGGGCTGTGTGCCCGACACCAGCGCCTGGCATCCCACAGGCCCTGGAAGCTTAGTCTACTCACTCCCCTCCACAGAAGGAGAAGATCCGGGAGAAGTTCGTGGAAGCCCTGAAGACAGAGTTTGCTGGCAAAGGACTGAGGTTCTCCCGAGGTAAATCCACCTGGCAGAGGGCCTGTGAGGCCTGGGCAGGGGCCCATCTCTCCAGAGCCTGGGGTGCAGTCCCCGAGGCTTTGGAAACCCCTCCCACCTCAGGGTACGGCGGGGGATGAGCTGGGATCAAAGTGGCGGGATGTGTTTCCTGGCCACCTTCCCCACCAGAGTGAACGCCGTGCCTGCTGCTTGCCGGCGGGAGCTGAGAGTGCCCCTCGGGTTCCCACCCCCCTGGTGCCAGAGGGACCCAGAATCTGACTGCCTCCTCAGCCCATCCTCCCTCGGTGGGGCAGGAGGACCGGGTATCTTGGGCCTTGTCACATCTTTGCCCAGAGCCCCCCAGGCTGTCCTCACTCTCCAGTAAAAACCTAGGACCCCACCCGGGAGTTCAGGGCCTCCTGGCGCCCAGCCATTTCTGTTGTGAGAATCTCACTCTCCCCTGCCTTGGGGACTCTCCCATCGCTGGCTGTCCCACTCTGGCTCGGTCCTGGCTCCCCTCTGCCATTGACTATGAGCTCTCAGTGGCCCCACGTGGATCTTAAGTGTCAGGAGGACCCTGAGTCTACCCTGTGCTTGACGTGTGAGGACAGCTCCAGGATCGTTGAATGACTGCGTCAACGGGGCCCACCCAAGCTCACCCCAGAGCTGCCGCTCTGCCGGCCTTGCCTGCTCCCCGGGTGGGACTCAGCCCACCCCCTCCCTCCACAGGAGGCATGATCAGCTTTGACGTCTTCCCTGAGGGCTGGGACAAGCGCTACTGCCTGGACAGCCTGGACCAGGACAGCTTTGACACCATCCACTTCTTCGGGAATGAGACCAGCCCTGTGAGTGTGGCCCAGCCCAGGCTCCCCCAACCCTAGTCACCCACAGTCGAGGCCAGGACCTCTGGGAGCCCTGGAGGACAGTCAGGGCTCACCAGCCCCATTAAACAGATCGGAAGGGCGGAGCCCAGAGAGGTCAAACACCAAGCCTGAGTCACACAGCAAGTATGGGCGGGTCTGGCGAGGTTGAGGCAGGCTTCCTGACATTTCTGAGGGGCAGGAAGGGGACAGCTCTGCAGGAGCTGGGGTGGGGCGTGCCAGTGTGGCTGCTGGGTCCTGCCCTGCGCGCCTCCTCCAGGGACCGCCTAAGCATTTGCCTCTTCTGCCCTTCCGTGTCAGGGTGGGAATGACTTCGAGATCTATGCAGACCCGCGGACTGTCGGCCACAGCGTGCTCTCCCCTCAGGACACGGTGCAGCGATGCCGGGAGATTTTCTTCCCAGAGACGGCCCACGAGGCGTGATGTCACCTGTGTCATGATTTCCAAAGGGCTTCGACCAGCTGAGAGTTCCTGTGGTCGGGTGGGTGCCAAGGCCCACTTCCCCCGCTCGGGATGCCCGTCTGTACGCACCTGCTGCAAAGCCCGGCCAGACAAGGCCAGGGTCTGTGCGGTGTCTGTCCCCAGCTGGTCAGCTCCTGAGAGCTGGCCTCCTCCTCCACCCTGATGGCCCCGGCCTCAGCTGCTGCTCGCACTTCTGAGCAGAACAGTTTCTGTCTACACTGGGAGGAGGCAAGTGTGAGTGTCGGTACGGGATGGAGCCTGCTCTGCCGGCCTGCCCTGGACACACAGGGCGCAGAGAGCGGTGGGGAAGGCATGCACTGTAAAGAACTTTGTGTCACGCGGATTAAAGTCCCCAGAACTAAGTGTGTCCCTTGTGTCAGAGTGGGTAGTGGGCTCCAGCCACCCCTTCACAGATGAGAAACCAGGCGCCAAGGGGCAGGGACGGCCCAGGTCACACAGGCTTCTGTCCAGTCAGACTGGCATGGCCTCCCTGGCCCCTGCCCGGGGCCCGGACAGATTAGACAGCTCTGGGCCACGAGGGTCACAGTTGAGGGTTTATTGCCAGTGTTAGGAACGATGGGGTCCAGGTGGCTGGGAGTCTCAGGAGGTTCTCTGACTGGGCGCTGGGAGGCTCTGAGTGGGGAGGAGAGCTGCAGCCCCCTGCCACCCATGTGTCCTCTGCCTGCTGGCTGGCACTGATAAAGGGGGTGTCCTCACAGGAGGGAAGCCTTGTGGGCCCCCGGAAGCCAACCTGTGCCAACAAGCCCTCTGCCAGGGGGCCTGGGAGTCTTTGTTTCTCAGGAGTCAGGCCTTGCTGGAATAGCCTGGCTCAAAGTAGGGTGTCAGGTGGGGCCCGTCCCAATTCTGAGGGGCTGGCTAGCATGTCTCAGTAGCTCTGGGCTTCCAGCTCTGTGTGGTAGGCCCTGGGGAATGGGCGGGATGCAGTTTCCCCAACTGGTCTTTACCCAGGTGTTATAGGGTGCCCACAAAGCTTGCAGTGCCCCTAGACAGCCACTGACCTCCTCGTCCTGGGCATTTGAGCCCCCAGTTTTATGCACAGACTCTCATGAGGCTCATGTCTGGCAGGCCCTCCCTTGAACCTGGGACCCTGTTCTTCCCTGGCAGGTGGCGTACTCTCCAGAAGGGAGTGTGGGGGCTGAAGCAGGGCCCCTCCTTCCTGGCCTCCCAGGCCAGGCCATTCCTACCCTTCTTCCCAGTGATGAAATAGATGCACACGCACACGCACACACACACATCCTGGCCCTGAAGGACCAGGTGAGGGACAGCACACCTCTCGGGATAGACAGGGTAGGGATCACACCTCGACCACTGGCTGTTGGGAGCCACCCTCCCGCAGCTTTGGGAAGGTGTCTGGAGTGGGTGGCAGGTGGCCCCCCAGGCTGAGGGTCATCCTCCTGGGAGCCTGGGCCTGGCCTTGCCCAAGGGGACGTGTGTCCATCTGTCGCCACATCTTTAGCGTCCCTTGGCCAGGCACGTGGCAGAACATCAATGAGGTTTGCAGGTCAGAGTCAAGGGGACAGCTCCATGCAAGCTAGGGAGGCCCTCCCCAGAGCCAGGAGAAGGAATACGGCTGAGGGACTGGAGTGCCCAAGTCGCCTCCCACCGGTAGGCGCTTTCCTGCCCTCCAGTGTGCTGATAGCAGGAGGAAGGTAGCAGGGGGGCCCGTCTGCCTCCGTGTTAGGCCCTGTCACCCCACCAGAGGCTGGAGGCTCCTCAGAGCTCACTGACCTGGCTCCTGAGAGAAGGGTCCAGGCCATGTTAGAGACCCCAGCCTGGGTTGGAGACATGAGTACCAGGGCCTGGGCAGAGGAAGGCTTGGGCGGGGCAGGGGCAGAGGAGTAGGGCTGTCGCGAGGGATCACTGTCTGCCCGAGCCTGAGGCAGGCTTCAGGGGCTCAGCCAATGCATGGTCAGGCAAGTGGCAGGAGGGCGAGAGGGACCTGTGCTGGCCGGGGGTGCCAACCGTGGGCCAACAGAGAAGGCAGGGCTGGCAGCTGCCTGCTCTGGCCAGCTCCTGGCCAGCTCCCATAGCAGCCACAGTCACAGAGGTGGGTGGAGGACACGCTCACAGCCACAAGCACAGACAGACAGACAGACAGACGTGTACACTGAGGCCACCCAGGGCTGGTCAGCCAGTGCAGTAGGGGTGCGGAGCTGGCTGAGGCTCATCCCCCCGTGGGGCTCCTGCCACCTGGCTGGTTGGCACAAGAGCCACCGGCCTAGGAGCCTACGACCTGACCGGACCACGTCTCATGGGGGGTGTGGGGAGCCAAGTGGGTGAGCACCACCTCCACGGCCTGGAACTTCTGGTTCTTGGGCGGGATGGGGCACATCTTGTAGGTCACCTCGTCACCCTCCACCGGCACATACTCCCCCTCGATGCTGCTGGGCAAGAGAAGTGAGTGAGCCCCACGCAGCCCCTCCCCTAGTCACACCGTGACTGGCCCTAGGCCGAGCTAAGCCGGGGAGCCTGGTCAGCATGGCTCTCAGAGCCCCAGCTCTGCTCTGCAAAACCGGAATCATAGGACCAGCTTCTGTGTTGTTTGGGGATTGACAGTGAAAGGGCTGGAGGGTCCCCAGGCTCCCAGATACCCTGTGGCATCCCCGTGGGTGGGGCCAGACCCAGACCCTCCTCTCTACCTCCCTGCCCACCTGCCTGAGGCCCCTTCCACCTGTGCTGGGACAGGATCCCAGGGCCCAGCTGGAGATTCCCAGGGCTTCTGGGGTCCATGTCCTGTTCCCACCTGGCTCAGCCCTCCTCCCATGTAGCCTCAGCACCTGAGAAGAGCCAAGTTGGGGGGAAGCCTCTGGGGAAGACATTTTCCAAGGCAGTGCTGGGGACATTGGGGCAGGGGCCCAGCCAAGAGCAGGGAGGAGACTCACTCAGATACGTGCACAAAGATGTCTTCAGACCCGTTCTCAGGTGTGATGAAGCCATGGCCCTGTGAGCGTGAGAACTGCTTACAGACGCCCTTGAACACGGGGCCAGCCGAGGCACGGGCTGTCCTGGGGATGGGATAGGAGTATCTGAGGTGTGATCTTCCACAACCTCCCGAGACCCTGCCTGCTACTCTGCCTCAGGGCTGTAGGAAACCCACCCAGGCCAGACTCGCATGATTATGCTCACGGGGCTGGCTCTCCCAGGCCGGCACAGCAAGTGGGCTCGCTGACTCCCACCAGCACCCTGCTCTGCACAGCACCCTCCCCTCCTGAGGGGCTCCCGATGTCAGTGGATTCCTGTGTTAAGATTTCTGTGTGGAGTCCAGCCTGGGCGTGAATACTGCCCGCAGAGCGCTCACCGTCTCCTCTCCTGGAGGACTGCCTCCCAGGCACTCGCCCCCCTCTGTTCTCGTCACTTCCAAAGCATCGCCTTGTGCCTGGCCTTGGGTCGGACACAGGACAGTTGGTGCTCAGCTCTGGCCAAGCCAAGTCTGTCTCCCTGCGGCTCCTACAAACCCCTTCCTACAAACGACCTCCCCCTAAGGCCCAGGGCTAGTCTCTGTCCCCTTGGTCACCACTCTGAGGGAAAAACCATGACTCAGTTTTGCCCCGGGCTGTTGCCTCTGAGGGAACACCCAGCTCCCTTTTTCACCTGACACAGCTTCCGGACCCAGCTAGATCATCGTCTTCCCTGTAGCCTACACTGGGCTCCCCAACCCTGCTGGCTGGTAACGGATGGTGGACCACCTCCCCCTGGATCGGAAGCAGCTGTGGGCAGGGGCTCTGTCTTACTCCTCACTAGGACCCTGGTCGGGACGCTGTAAGCCTTTGTGGAGTGGATGAGTGACTGAGTGACCCTATAGTTACCAGGAGTCCACGCGCAGCACCCACAGTCCCGGGAACTGCTGAGACAGCACCAGGGCTGGAGGAAGACGGGGAGGGGCAGCCCAGACTGAGCCCCTTCCTGGGGAGATCTCAGAGCCTGGACCAGGGGTGGGTACTCACGCCGAATATGTCCTGGTCCTTTTGGTGGGCAGAGGGCTGGGCAGGTCCCGAGTCTGGACACCACCCCGTTCCCAGACCCTGCTGCCCTCCCGGTGGAAGGGGAAGGTAGGCCAGACAGGGGACTTGGGAGAGTGAAGCGGGGGCACAACGGGAGGCGACGTGGGCTCCGAAGTCATGGTGGGGCCAGCAGGAGAGCCTGGGGGGCTCTGGGGCCCAGGGGCCGGAGGAAGGCTCGGGCGTCCTTGCGGGCAGGGCCCGGCCTGGCCCTGCTCGGTGGCCACACCAGCCACAGGCTCCGTCTGAAAGAGGGCGAGAGGCACAGGTGAGTGAGGTCCTGGTGGGCAGCTGCTGGACACTGGCACAAATTGGGAAGGCAGGGCCTGCCTGCCAGTCCTCACAGAGTGACTCAGACCCCTCACTGTCCTCCCTGGCTTAGTGTCCTCACTTAGTCACTGTGGTCACCTAACCCTAAGTCCAACTTGCCGTTCAACTCTGAACCTCGAGACCCTGGGAGGGGGCGGGGAGGGGGGCCAGCAATGGTCTGGAAGATGGTTTGGCACAAGTGGTGTCTGTTCGAAATTCACAGGCCTGGGTTCACATCTCAGCTTTGTCACCTATAGCTTGGTGACCTCAAGCAAGCCACTCTGCAGCTCCAGCCTGGTGGGTAAGAGCCTGGGCTCCAGGTCCACCTGATGTGGGTTTGATTCCTGACTTTTCCGACTAGTGGCTGTGTGGCCTCTTAGTCTTCGATACTGCCCTGTAAGATGGGACGGTGTTGGTTTTCATAGCAGAGTGAAATGACTTTCTACGTACTTTGAACAGGAGAGCCATGGTGAGTCCCTGGGAACGCTGGCCGGTTTCCCTTGGCCCGTTTCCGAGCTTGAGAAACTTACCATGTGAGGACAGGGAGGGTTCAGCGGCGTAGCTGTGGCCAGCATCCGCAGGTACCCCGTAAACTGTTATTATCAATGCCAATTAATAAGAAGCCCAAGTCAACAGCTCAGCACCTGGGTGACCTTGAGGAAATCTGTCCTGTAGTTCCCTATGCTAAGGAAAGGAACAGATCCCCCTACTCACCCACCCACCTCCTCAGTCCCCCTCAAGAACTGAGAAGCCATGGGCCCTGAGAGTTGTTGCTGTGGACCTCTGGGGAGGGATAGATGGCCACCAAGTGGGCCTGGGAAGGACCCGGGCCAGGACAACCTCAGCTCTGCTATTTAGTAGCAGCCAACTGCGGGCTCACTTCCGTCAGCCTCCGTGTCCCCACCTGTACAGTTGATAAAACTGTCCCACCCGCTCACAGGTCATGCTGAGGCTTGGCTGAGCCTAAATATGTGGAGATGCTCCCATAGACTGTAGTTGTATAAAAGTAGGGGTGATGGGTTCTCCGCCTCCTCACTGCCCCATTCTCCCATTCCCTCTACCCCTGCCCCAAGGCCCTGGGGGTCCGAGATGAATCTCTGTGCTGCGAGTCTATTTCTAACCTCCATTGGTGCATCCCCCCCCACACACACTCACACACATACACACAGCCTTGGGTTTCTAGGGAAAGGTTTTTGGTTTTAGGTCTTTGTCATAGGGTCTCTGAGCTAGCCAGAGACAGAGACGGAGAGACGGAAAGTGATTATTCAAACCCACGCCAATCTCTTCTCCTTCATTCTCCTCTCAAGATTTTGGGCATGCTCGCACACGAGCCCCCTGTTAGTTCCACACTGCTTGGTCTGGAGCTCAAACTGCAGTGGACCATGTAGGAGTCCAGTGCCTTAAACACCACGCCATCTGCTGTCCCCTCTAGGAAAAAGTTTAAGACGCTTCAGGAGTACAGAGCTCAACAAGCCCAAAAATACCGCAGGGCAAGACTGGAGGGGCCCAGGAATCTCCTCATCCAACCCCGTTCTTGAGTGGGTCTCCTGGCCTGTGCTCTAGAGCGCACATTGAGTTTGCAGGGTTTTTCTGGGCCAAGATGCGGAGCTGGCTCTGCTGCCCCTGGGGAGGAGGTGGGACCCATCCTCCCTCTCCTGCCCCCACAGTGAGGAGAGCTGCCCTCTCTCCAGGAGAGCAAGGCGTGCCCTCCCAGCTCCCCCGGCTGACATGGGACTTTTTTCTCTGCCAGCTCATTCTGGGAGGCAGGGTGGCCAGGTTTGGCATATTAGTCCTCATTTAATTTATTTATTTCTTTTTAAAAGTTTGTTTGTTTATTTATTTATTTATTAATAATTATTTATTTTATTTATTCATTCTTTTCTTTTCTTTCTTTCTTTTTTTTTTTTTTTTATTTTTATCAGAGAGAGACA